GACCACTCCAGTAAGGCTGCGGATTTCGTCTATCATACATACATTACATACTCCTATATAATTGTCACATTTGTACAGGTTATGAAGAATGTTGTTATAGAGAATGATGACAGGATATGTCTGACTGTCCTTGTCCTTGGCAGAGATCGACCAACTCCAGTAAGGCCCGATTTCATCTATCATATACTCCTATATAAATAACTGTCACATTTTTACAGGTACAGGTTTATGAAGAATGTATGTATAGCAGGATATGTCTGACCGTCCTTGTCCCCGGCACTCCGGCAGATCGACCGACGACGAGCACTGGATGCATGCCTACATCCAGACAGGACCATAAGGTTAGGAAGCATGAAACTGGTTCTGTTCTCACTGATTTCAGGCTTGGACAGATCGTTCGTTCGAGCAGATCGATCATCCCAGTCGGTAGATGGACACAGCCAGATTTTAAATAATAGTGCCAGTGTACGTGCCACCGCTGTTGCTGACTGACTGCTGAGGGAGGTAGGGCATGCCGAAAGGGCGTGGCTAGCGCATGGACATCCGGACGGACACGAGCGTCCGGATGCCTGCCCCCCGTCCGTCTTCGCCCCGCCCCACGCGCGCATTTTGCCTCGTCTCTACGCCCGCCGGTCACCCCTGACCCCCTTCTCTCACTCCGCGCGGGCAGCACTCAGGAGCTGGGATGAGCAGCTGAGGACGAAACACGCCCGACCGCAACATCACCGTCCCCCACCCCCCGCACGTGCTGCACGCCTAGTCCGCTCGCCCCCGGCCGTATAGCATAAAACACTTGCAACATGAAAATATTTGAATGAAACATATACATCTGAAAAGTAGATGAAACATTTGGAACACGCACTTACAACATGTGTGTGAAACACACGAAACATCCAGATTTGCAACTTGCAAGATAAAACCACTTGCCGCAACATAAGACTGAAAACAACTAAGCCCTTGTTTAGGTGGGTGAATTTGGATTTTGGGGCTACTGTAGCACGTTCGTTTTTATTTGGCAAATAGTGTTCAAACATGGACTAATTAGGCTCAAAACGTTCGTCTCGCAATTTCCCACCAAACTGTGCAATTAGTTTTTATTTTCATCTACATTTAATACTCCATGCATGGGCCGCAAACATTCGATGTGACAGGTACTGTAGCAACTTTTTGGACTTTGGGGTCCAACTAAACACGGCGTAAAACATTTAGAACATACTGTTGTAACATATGTGTGAAATATATGCAATATCCAGATAAAAAAAAAGATTGCAACTTATTCTGGAGACAGATGAAACATTTTTAACAAACATTTGCAACATGCCTTTGAAACACTTGCAACATCCCTAGATCTACTTTTACAACATCAAAGTGAAATAATTGCAACATCCATTTGAAATGTCTTAAACACTTGAAACATACATATACATATGCAACATAGGGGAGAAAAGTCCGGGCCAATCGATTTCGGCCACCGTGTGGGAGACGACGGCGAGCTACGGCGCACGAGCACCACCAACACCGCCCATGCTCGTGGGTGCCCTTGGTTCAGCGGGGGAAGACCTGAGGCGCCACAGCACGTTTGGCCCAGCGGCCATGCCAGGGTCAGCAACGCGCCCAACGGCGAGGGAGTGAGCGACGCAGGTGATTGCCACGCAGGTGAGTGGCACACGGAGCGAGGGCGCGTGGCGTGACCGGCGATGGGGGGAAGGGCACGGGGTGGGAGCCCGACGAGTGCGCTCTAGAGAAGGGGCGGACGGATGAGCAGCCAAGCCGAGCGACGCAGGTGGCTGCCACGCAGGTGAGCGGCGTAGGCTGCGAGGCCATGTGGCGCAGCCGGCGACGATGAAAGGAAACGGTGCGGCAGCCCGACAAGCACGCGCTGGAGAAGGGGGTGGAGGAATGAGCAGCCACGCTGCTTTAGGGCCGGACGGATAAGCACGAAGGAGTGGGATGTAGATTCGGGAGGGACATGCAGGAATGGGCATTTGTTTTTTTTTTATTGTTTGGGGCCGTTCCTCGGCCTGCGCGAGTATTTCCGGCCGAAAACCAGGCGGGATGAAAACGCGCAGAGGGATGGAGACTGCCGAGCTCCCTCCCGCGCACGGTGGATGGTGCGGTGCGGTGATCGAAATCAGCGGCCGGCGACTCGCGGGGTCGACACGATGCCGCCCGCCCGCCCGCCCGCCCGGAACGAACATGCATGCATGCTGTTTGTGTCCGCCTGTCCGGGTTCGGTAGCGACGGGGCATCTCAAATCTCATCATGTACACCTCTCGCTGGCTATAGCGCACCGGCTGCTCTACAGACTACAGCTAAGCCTGACCCTGGCCAAGCGAGCGACGTGTGTCGTCGGTGTGTGCTGTGTTGCCGTCTGGTGTGTACTTGTGTCACTGTACACCTTTGACGAGGCTTCCAAGCCCAAGCAAAAGCAACGGGATTCGTTTTTTCACATACTGAATGTCCCTGGTTGCACATTGCAGTCCTGCAGAAGCTTCGATAATCGATATGCCCTGCCACTGCCAGCACGCTTCCTGCTGTGCATATTTATGTACGACAAGGACCGTGTTGACCTGTAATAAGTAAGTGGACCACCTGTTCCGCGTCCCGTTCGTTTGGTTTATAAATCGTACTTTTTTAACCAATGAATATTATTTTTCTCTCACAACAAATCAGTCAACCGTACTTTCAGTCATGACTTATCAGCCAAGCGAACAGAGCATAGAAGATTTGGGCATTCTTTGGAGTTTGGACCATACAAACGTCAGTCAATCCATGCATGACTGATCCGATCCGGAGAGAAGTGCGCGCGCACCATTGTACTAGTAGATACTAGATAGATGGTCCATATGCTGCGTGCTGATTTCGTGCAGGATCATCGCGCGGTGCGCTTTCGCGTGGTCCGATCCACCTCTGATGTTCCACGCTACACAAGGCCCCCCAAAATATCCGTGGACGTTAGTCGTCAAAAGCTGCTTCAGCGATATGATGGGCAGTCAATTATACAAAGAAATGGATGACGGTTAATTGTAAAAATTAAGATACGTGCACCGAGTCTTGTAATGATAATGGGGTACAAGATTCGCTCATAAGAGTTTTTACCAACGAAAAGACAACACTTGGTATCTCGAATTATTATATCTTAATAACAAAGACTAAAATACACGGATGATCCAGAAATGTATTCCTGGATTTTATTCACCTCTCCAGACTCTCAAAATGTTTTTTTATGTCTTCAGACTTCATCTGAATCCCAAACTCTCTAAATATCACTTTTGGGTCCCTAAACATGTCATAGGGTGTCATTTACTTCAAAATGAGGCTCAACATGCTATGGGTTTTCACATGGCAAGTTGCATTAGATCCCCGCTAGTCTTGACGAGTGGATTCCACACGAGGGCAAAGCGGCCTACATGTCTCCTATGGTGTTTCATCTCTGTGCTGTCGTACCCTAATGTCTCTCTCAATGCCACCGACAAGATCTTGTAGCCATGTCCATCCCTATCCCTCCTGCCATCTTCAGCCTTCACCTTGAAGGCCGCCATATATGGAGGTGGTCAAGACGAAGATGGTGCTCTCAAGGTAGAAAAAAAGGCCCCTGGGTTTCTACCCCATCAATAATAATTAAGCATGGATCCGACCATCACCAAGAAGATCTCGCAGCCAAGATCCTCCCTCATCTTTCTTCGTCACCGCATGAGGGGTCTTGTTCTCCCACGTGCTCTACCCTAGCAACCTCTCATAGGGACGTCCATGTTGTCTTTGCCACCTAAGTCCCTACCTAACCCCCAACCGTTGATGTTTTGTAGTGTCAACTTGCAAATTTGTAGTTGTGTGTACCATGATCGTGTTCTTGAGCTCAAAGGTCTGGAGTTTGTAATATGGGTTACAAACAGGTAGGTTGTGTTGAGGACTGTGGAAGAGTATTCAGACAATCTAATTAAAGAGAGGGAAATAGCCATCCCCCTACTATAATTAAAGCCAGGGGGTAGGGTTAAAAAAAAAGAGGAAGGTGCCCTATGTCGGCTAGTCCGGTTGGATCCTTCTGTCGCCATTGTCCACTTTGCGTCGTCATGACTGCCGTACTCGTCTTGGAGCGGAATAGCTAGCATGGCTCCCCATATCAACATATATACGCCATCAGTTCGCGGTATTAGCTAGTGCCCCCATAGTGTCAGGTAACTAATGCATGTTCGTGTCTCCTGTTTTGTACCAGGTGACCACTTTTCCAGGTGTGCAGCACCAATGATGTATGTGGGTAGCACACCCGTTGATTTGCATGTCACATCAGGTTAACTGTTTCGTATGGCAGGCCTTTGACCTTTCGAAGGAAAGACTGGGCAAGTTCCCCACGATACTCGGATGGATCTTAGGGGAGCCCCGAGTTCTATGGGATCGAGATCAAGAGGTCTGCCCAGGTGCCGCTTACCGACTACCGAGGGGTGGGCCCCATTGCCCGAATTCCCACGTCAAATTTCTATACGGTGTAGACATAGAATGTTGGGACGAACTCGGCAGAGTAGGAGGTCATAATACCAAATAGGTGAGGGTATCCCTGATACATGTATTTTATGCCGCTGCGTATGTTTCAAGTGCGGAAATTAAACTAAGTTCCACATATATCCATCTCAATCCACATATATTAAAGTGAATTAGAGTAGAAGTTAAACTAAGTTTCATTAATCTAATTCACTCCAACACATGTGCATTGAAGTGGATACGCATGCATCGTAACAAGGGCTTAGTGTATAATTAACCTATTACGTCTGCCCCAGCAGCAGTTTTTTACAACAGTTGTTGACTAAAGGCACAGGATTTTGACCCTGGTATTGTGAACTCTGGCGCATTCTATTCATTCACCCGCGGTGACAATGACACGATCACACTTGGATGTGCATATCCGAAAGTTAGCAGAGAGTAATTAAAGAGTAGAGACATAAGTCGCGATTGTTCTCAAATTTGGTTGAGTAAAGGCACAGCTTCTAGAACCCTTTTAAGTTAACCTACGGGGCGCAGAGCTGCCTCAAATTCACTGGAGAAACCAACGGCGGGGACCCGTCGAAGGCAACCCTGGTGAGCTTCTGTGCAGTGAGCTCCGTGGGATGGACGAAGTCCCAGAAGACGTGGTTGCTCCTGTTGGGGCAGAGCGAGCTCAACGGGGTGCAACCGAACATGGCGTTGTCACTCCCTAGACCACAGCAGGCGGCTTTCACTTCAGCAGATCCTGTCACCAAAAAGTCATGGTGAATCAGGTAGTTTTAATCTGAAACATCATCTGCAATTCATGACGTTTCTATTCATCAATCTTGATCGTCGTCGGTACCATTTGCTTCAAGTTCCTGGATGTACAGCAGCAACGCAGTGGATGTGTTGAAGAAGGAATACTGAAAATCCGAGTGTCGTGCGCTCAGGTCGCGCAGGAGGGAGGCGACGGCCGTGTTGTGCTCAACTGACAGAGAGTTTGCCTCTGCGTTGCATCCCTTGCTATTGTGGAGGCTCCGCTCCCGCTCCCGCAGCAACGGGATGCATCCGAGCGGCGCCGCGCCGACGAAGAACAACCTGCGCATCCCCAGAGCGTACATCCTCTGGAAAAAATATTATTCATATCTATCATGTTCATGTGTAAGGCCGTGACATGAATGAACTAATTTTAGGGCCCGTTCGGTTCCAGGAGTACTGTGGCCTGAAACCATTCTTGTCCGGTTTGCTTGCATAATTTTATATAAGTTTTGATCATCCGGATTGATTCCTGGAATCCAGAGTAACCGAATAGGGCCTTAAGGAAAAAGAAACGATTGCACGGGAAGAAACAATACAAGTTCGATCGAGATTACACCTGCAGTTGGCGTTTCAAGGACTGCGCCATTAGATCGATGAACTGCGTCGAATTCAGCGGGCCGGCGGGGTCTAACAAGACGCGATCGATTATGTCGTTGCCGCCGATGGCAATGGCGAACATCGATTCGGCGAGGTGGATGGAGGCTTGAGCCTTGTCCAGCTGCCGAGACAGCGCCGCATACACGCTGTTGTAGTCGCGCTCAATTTGTTCGTCGAAGCTGATGCAGAGGCCCTTTAAATAAAACAGCAAAAGAGCTCTTACGACCATGCAGACTAGCTCATTATATTTTTGCAAGCAGCTAATAAAGTAGGTAAAGCTAACCACGTTTGTAAGGGCTAAGACTCCTGCACCGCCGGAAGCGAAGTTGACACTGTTAGTTGATCTTCACCAATAGATCCAACGGTCTATTGAGCTCTTGCCTCTGCTTCCTGATCGGGGGAGCCCAACCCTAACTAGTTGGTGGGCCCCTGTCGCACAACACATATATAAAAGGTAAGGTGGGGATCAGGGCTCGTAACACGAGGTTCATCGTGAGCCGCCACTTCCACCTACAGTAACCCTAAACCGATCTAAAGACCGTGCTGCCAGCGACGGGATGTGCCCCACCACCACCGTCGCGCCTGCAGGTTCTCCGCCGGCGCCACTGGACTTCTCTCCACCGCGCTGGACGACTCCTACTACACCGCGGCACCGCCGTCTACGTTGTTGTGCCGCAAAGAGAAACGTCAAGGAGGCTAACCGGATCTACGGTTACACACAGAGGTACACACATCGATACTAACAATGGTATTGGAGCAGGTTGCCTCTGTGTAATCCTAACCCTAACCGGGTAAAAGAAGAAAGAAAAACCACCGCCACCGCGCGTGGAAAAGATGATAGCACCGCTGTTCTACACCGGCGCACGGCAAGAACAGAAGAGATCCGTGTTCGGATCAGAGAAGAAGAAAAGAACAAGATCCATTCGGATCAGAGAAGAAGAAGAAAAGAACAAGATCCATTCGGATCAGAGAAGGGGTTCACTAACCCTAACCCGCGCAGAAAGCTCGGGAAAGAAGAAGAGTGGGTTCAGATTTGACCAAACCCTAAGACCTAACCCTAACTCGCATGGAGAAAGGGAAAAGGAGAAAGCCATTCGGATGAACTCCAAAAGAGAAAAGTAATCAAAGAAAAGAAAAATCCAAAGAAAAGAACAAAGAAAAGGGGTGGGCACACGAACCCTAACCCCAATCGGTCAAACAAAGAAAAACAAACAAGATCTAGATCCGATTGGGGAAGAAGAAGAGAAAAGAACAAGGGTCGGAACCCTAACCCTAATCCCCACCTTCGATTCAGAAAAGAGAAGTTCAATCTAACTCGAAAAGAAGAAGGGAAGAAGAACAGGGGCTGGAATCGAACCCTAACCCTAGATCCCCTTTTCGGGTGAACAAACGAAAAGAAAAGAAATAAAAAAAACAGAAAACCGAGCCGGCCCTTCGCCGGCGCGGGAGAAGAAGACCGAGCCGGGCTCGGCAAAGGGGTCACCGCGGCCAAGCCATTCAACGACACAGCTCACCCATTGAGGCGCCGCGCGCCGCCGGGGGCAGCGGCGGTGCCATGGACGCCTTCGCGCGCTTCGGTTGTGCTCATACCGAGAAGAGAGAGCAAGGTAGAGAGAGAGAGCGCGAAGAAGAGAGAGAAAGCAAACGCTGAAATGAGCTAGGGTTTCGGACACCGGCGCGGCGTCGGTTTTTATACCGCCCGAAACGAATGCGTAGCCGTCGGATGCAGAACGAACGGCGCAGATCAACCAGGCCGCCTTTCGGCCCAGGCGGGCGAGGGCGTGAGGCCACTTTCCCGCCCAGCCCAGTTGCGGCTCAAGGCGGGTGAGCGCCAGCAGAAAAGCGCGCTGCGGTGTGGGCCAGGTCGCGTTCGGTCGAACGAAGAAAGAGAAAGAGCCCAGTTTCGTTTTTTTTCTGGAAAATTGAATATGCAAATTGGCTCAAGAGAAAAATAGAAAAGTAATTTTTTCCCTATGGGTAAAATTCAAGAAATTGAGTAAGTACATTCTCCAGCGATTTTGAACAGACGTGATATTTAACTGGAGAAAAGAAAAGTTTTTCCAGTAAATATTTATTTCCTAGAAATTGATTAATGGATTAAAGGAAATAGAAAAAGCAATTTTCCCTGTGGGTAAAATTCAAGGAAAAGAGAGTTTTTTCATAGCCAAAGAAATTATTTATTCTCCAGTTAATTTGTACCAACGTTGTATTTAATTGGAGAAAAAGTGAGTTTTCTGCTGCTAAAGAAATTATTGATTCTCCAGTTATTTTGAACCAAAGTGGTATTTAATTGGAGAAAAAGAGATTTGTCATGGATTATGATGTTGTTATTCTCTGACCAACGTTGTTAATAACAATATCGTAATTTTAATGATTTATGCATTAATTTTACTTCTATCCAACGGTGATGTAGAATTAGTGTATAAGAACAGATGTTAATTTTAATGATTTATGCATTAATTCTATTTCTGCCCAACGGTGATGTAGAATTAGTGTATGAGAACAGTTGTAAAAGTTAATGATTTATGCATTAATTATATTTCTGCCCAACGGTGATGTAGAATTAGCGTGTAAGAACAACTGTGAAAGTTAACGGTTTATGTATTGATTCTATTTCTGCTCAACGGTGATGTAGAATTAGTGTATAAGAATAGTTGTATGTTTTGATTTTGACCAACGTTGGAATCAAGACATGCAAATGGTGTTATTTTTATGTTAACAAAAGTTTTGACCTGGTTTTCATCTTGTCTAAGGTGAACTGGGTAGTCACCTCACCGTGTTCCACTGAGTTTGTGGCACCGATGAGAGAGACAAAAGAGAATGATGCCACTTGGATAACTAAAGTGAGGGATTTTAAATCTCAAAAGATATCCTATGACTCCTTGGGCATAGGAAATGAATCACTACCAACACGAAAAAGTTTGGCTATGATAAAGAACATGATTGAACCTGCAATTGTGGGCTCAATCCCAGAATGTGACACGGTCACCGAGTACCTCGATAGAATAAAGAGTCAGTTCGCTAGCTCTTCAAAGACATATGCCACTTAGCTGATAAAGCAGCTGGTCACAGAGTGTTAATCTGGAAAAGGTGGCATAAGAGAGCTCACGATGCGTTGTCGAAATTATGGCACTGTCATTTAGGCCATATTTCGAGGGGGAGAATAAAAAGACAAGTTAAGAATGATATTCTTCCTCCATTAGAGCTCTCAGATTAAGTTCAATACAGAGAATGCATAAAAGAAAAGTATATAAAGAAGATTAAGAAACATGACAAACGAAGCGCAGGAATCTTATAGATTATTCACACAGACATCTGTGGTCAGTTTCCTGTAAAGAGTGTGGATGGTAATGATTCGTTCATAACATTCACATATGAGTACTCCCATCATGGCTATATTTATCCAATCAAAGAAAAAAATGTACTAGATAAATTCAAGATATTAAAGATTAAGATAGTCAGGTCTGACCATGGAGGAGTACTGCGGTCGGCATACCCTAAAAGAATGGCATAGTAGCCCGGTATTCTATACCAGGTGAACCTCAGCAGAATAGAGTAGCTAAAAGAATCAATCGCATCCTGATGGATATGGTGGACAGTACGATAAGTTACTCCACCTTACAGTTGAGCCTGTGGATGGAGGCGTTGAAAACGGCCATTCATATTCTCAATAAAGTATCAAGAAAGTCGGTGCCCAAAATACCGTATGAGTTGTGGACAGAAAGAGTACTCTCACTAAACACTTAAGTGTGTGGGGGAGCCCTGCTGAGGCTAAAGTATTTAACCCAAATATTAGGAAACTGGATCCCAAGATAGTAAGTTGCTATTTCATTGGCTACAAAGAAAAGTCAAAAGGTTTTTGTTTCTACTATCCAGAGTGACATATAAAATTTGTGGAAACGAGACACGCTGTTTTTCTAGAGGATGAAAAGATGAGGGAGAGCATGGTAGCTCGAGAAATTGACCTTGAAGTGAAGCGGGTGTATGCGCCCACTCCAATGATTCATGAGCCATTTTTCTCACTACCTGTTATAGCTGCACCGACAGTGCTAGATACTGTAGTGCCAGCACCTGTTGTTATCCCACCTGTGGCAACAATGAATAACGATGAGGAACCTGTTCTTCATGATTCTATAGAACCTATTGCCACACATGAGGGGGAGCAACAACAGCCTCAAACAGAAGATGTGCCAAAAGTGGAGGCCCCTAGAAGGTCTCAAAGAGTTAGAAAATCAGCTATTCCTGCTGATTATGAAGTGTACAACACTGAGGAATTTCAAATGGAGGATGATCCCACCTCATTTGAAGAAGCCATGAGAGTGATCATTCATCAAAGTGGCTTGAGGACATGGAAGATGAAATGAAATCAATGAATGCCAATAAAGTTTGGGACTTGGAAATAATTCCTAAATGAGCCAAAACAGTAGGCTGTAAATGGGTCTACAGAACAAAACTTGGCTCTCAAGGTAATATAGAGAAATATAAAGCGTGGCTTGTGACAAAAGGCTATATGCAAAGAGAAGGAATTGATTACAATAAGACCATTTTCTCCAGTCTTATGTATAGTTTCCTTCAGAATCATAATGGCATTAGTGGCACATTACGATTGAGAATTACATCAGATGGATGTAAAGACGGCATTTCTCAACGGTGACTTGGAGAAAAATGTTTACATGGCACAACCGAAAGGTTTTGTCATAGAAGAAAAAGAACGAATGGGATGCCACCTAAAGAAATTAATTTATGGATTAAAGCAAGCTTCAAGACAGTGGTACTTGAAGTTTGATCAGTTAATAAAGAATTTTGGGTTTTAAAAGAGAATGTAGAGGACAATTGTGTCTATGCAAAGTTTAAGAATAAGAAGTTTATCTTCCTTGTCCTGTATGTAGATAGTATCTTACTTGCTAGTAGTGATGTCAGTCTACTATAGGAGACAAAGAAGTTTTGTCCTCAAAACTTGATATGAAAGATCTTGACGAAGCCTCGTTCGTTCTAGGGATCGAGATTCACCGAGATAGAAGAAAAAGGGTATAATAACTGTCACAAAAGGCATACATGGAAAAGATCTTAAAGAAATTCAGT